AAGTCGGAATTTCTGCCCCTCCCTCTGCCCCGCACAAAAAGACCCCAAAGGAGGAGACTCTCTGCAGCCACACAAACATTCATTGCACGTATCCGGCCCGGGGGCCGTAGTTTGAGGACCTCTGATTTAGTGCAATATAAAAAATGCAAATAATTATTCTATGGTCCGCCAAAATTTTCTCGCGGACCACCAGCGGTCCACAAATCACCAGTTGGTGACTGCTGGATAGAAGACCTGCAAAGTCCCTTCTAACACAGTTATTCTGTTATTTGTACCCGGACGCCCCATGCAGCCGTATTCTATTGCAACTTAATTCCTATCTATTTCCGATTGCAGAAAGACACCGATAAAAAGACCATTGAGATGTCTGGGATCAACGGAATACATTTATTTAAAAGCAATTTTAAATATTAAAAAAGTAGAAATTAACACATACAGTACTCCAACGGTCACATTAAACACATAAGGAAACAAGTGTACTGATGGAAGAGGAGGAGTGTAACATTCAAGAGAGATTTCAGTATCGTCTAGAGTACAATAAGATCTGGGTTTTTTTTTTCTTCTTCTACAGGTGGTTGCAGTATGTCATAAAAAAATAAATAGCAATTGCTGTTCAACAGTTAAGATAACACATCGTTTCCAGAACTTACTTCCCTCCCTGGGGGGAAAAAACCAAAACAAAACTCAAAAGCAAGCAGGCTTTCCAAATATATCATGAAATGTACAAAATTGCAGATAGTGGCTCTTGAGCTTAAATAGAACCTTGTACTTAAAACTCAAGCTTATATATCATACATTGCATCTTAATTATCCTATGGACTCCTAAATCAAATAATCAGCTCTTGGGTTCCCGGTGGAACTCATTTTATTTTTTTAAAAAATCCATATGCTACTTCAAAAAGCTTACAAAATAATAGACATTTGACTCTACATCATTTTACACATCTTTATAGGTTCGCTTTTATTTGTGTTTTTTTTTCCTTCTAAACGTGGATGCTGAGTTTGTTTTTAAAAGACAATTGAGAAAGTGGATGAGTTTTTCCCCTTCAATGCACTGGAGAGACGTTTAACAAGTAAAATGGACTGCTAACTTGTTTTTGTTCTAGCGTTTGTATAAACAGCATTAAGTTTACTAAATGTGATTTAATTTATTAAAAACACTGACATTAGCAAGCAGGCTCACTCATTCATCTTATACCTTTGAACAAAATGTCCATGACCTGGAATTCAATGTTTTGAAAAACCACTTTCCAATAAGAGCTAATAATTGCTTTGCTTTCTTTCATTCATGTTAAAGAGTTCTTAAACTGATTGTATATTTTTTTGCATGTTAACCCCTCAAATAAACATTGG